ACCATAGCTTTCCAAATCTTTGCACAGCATCCAAATACTTTGACTTATATTTTAGAAAGATTAACCTCCAAACTTTCCTCACTGAGAGTTGAATCCATCAATAAAGGTCACAAAGTCAGTGTTTCCCCACCAATGGATGAGACAGTAGTTGGTCCTCCACACATCGGAGTGTAACAAGCTCAATGTTCTTCCTTCTTCTGGGTTTTCTTCTAATTTTTGTCTGAAAGCTCGGACTCTTTTCTCGCTTCCAAAATATGCAGTCTTACACACTCTCGTCAAATTTCAATTGACTCGGAAGGACTCCGTGGATAGTTTTCCCTGTGCAGAATGGTTAGAATCTCTCATTCACTTCTATACTTTCATATGGCCAATGGTATCACACTCCTCTTCTCCGGTCCACCCTGTTACACCCGAATAAACCGAGTCGAGATGCTATAAAGCGGATTTGACTGTATCTTGGCGCACCTGACATGCTGAGAAATCATAACTGGCTTATACGTGAATGATAATCTTCATTCTGATGTTTCGTTTAACAAACAATTACTGTTACTTCAATGTTTACAAAGGACCATGCTTGATACTGCTTTACAAAATGAATAATTGGGCCCAACTGTGTGCCCTGTACATGCCATAATAAAAGGGTAGACAAAAGATACACATTTACAGTGTTAAGCTGCCTATAAGACTGAGTCTTCTACAGCATGAACTGCCAGGCAGTTTGTAAAGCCGTACTTTCTCTACGGTCTCAGTTCTCAAAACCTGCGAGGTTACAAAGTAACTCGCTGAGCAATAAAGCTCAGATGGATATTCACTCCACAGATAAAGAAACAATTAAAACACATACATGTATAGAAAGAACCATGTAAAATACATTTGTGGCACAATATAAAGCCACACACATCATGTACTTTCGGTGATCACTTGATTATCTTGTGTTACTGTTTATAATACTGTATAATTTCATTGACAATGTTATGTCAAGATATCTGTTATGGCTCCATAAGTGTTTAGTAGTGAAACCGTTTCACGGATCAACAGCCAAGTGATCACAAGTAAAAATTGTATGAAATGGAGCACAATATGTCCATGCTTAGGCTGCTCATCGCGCTCTTCTATCATAATCCATATTCCACTACAACGTGCACTCCTTGTAAGCCGGACGTCATCACAGGTACCAAAAACTGTTATGGAGGCACAGATCTGGCCTATCCTATGTCGCGACATAGTCTCTTATCTACATGGTTTCTACCTAACCTCAATGGAGACAAAAACTGTTGGTTTATGTCAACATAATATAACCACAAACCAATCATGTATTCATAGTTCTATACTTCCATAATCCATAATCGTTCATTGAATCACATCATTTGTATGCCTTGCATGTTTTTTGATTGCATGATTGAATGTGTCGTATTTTGGGTAAAAATGATTGGAGGCATATAACGTGAAGCCAAACAGGAATACATATTGCATTGGGAAAAAAAGTCCAAAGTGCATTAAAACACAAGTCGCTGAGCGCCTACTTTTAAAAGTCCGCGAGCGTCAGATAGAATGCAAAATGAGAGACAGTGAGTTATCGGCACAAAGTCGCGAGCCAGCTACTTGAAAGTCGCGAGAGCTTGCAGGCAAGGGTCCAAAGTTACAGCGAGCGCGCACTTGCAAATCGCCGAGCGCGAGAAATTGCCAAATGAGAGTCAGAAGAGGTGCGAGCACAAGGTCCTGCGAGCGCGGAGTGTGTGGCAACGCGAAAACTCTTATGCAATTTCCGCAGCGCCGGCTTCCAGCCTGCACTGTCTGTACTCTTTGGTCATATTCTCTCAATATACAACTCCGATTTGGAATGATTCAAAAACCCCATGTACACATGCTAAACATCATAGAGGAACAACTAACTCTTCTCATGACACTTCCTGAATTCCATCATTAACATTGGGCGTCAAAAGCAAATGAAGTAACTGGTAAAATTTTTCCAGCAAAAACCGTGTTTAACATTAAAACTCACTATTTATCTTCATTTTTTTCACTTCCTCCCTGTTTTTCTCACATTACCAGTCCTCCACCTCAACTTGAATGCAATCGTGCCTTCATAGCAACACACCACACCAAATTCTCATGCAAAAGAAAAGTATAATAAAAAGAGATATCAACCTCAAACCAAAGAGCTTTTAAACCTTTCTTCTTAGCCTTCCTTTCTCCTACTTTGAGCTTTCCCCTCTTCCATAAACATAATCACTCTGCATAACGATCATCTAAAAGATTCACAAAAAAGTGTCATGAAAACTACTTTAAGGAAAACTTACTATACTTGGATAGGCAGTTCTAGGTTAACAGTTAGGTGTTCATTTCAATTAACTTGAAAAGTGATGGAGAAAGGAAGTTAGATGAAGAGAAAGATGAAAAGAGCATGCAGAGGAGATTGAAGATGAAGAGACGTTGACGTATCGAAGATAGAAGAAAAAGGAAGAAAGAAATGTGGAAATGTGTGGAAGTCTCGATATACTTCCACTTCCCAACCATCCTCTTTCAAACTGTATGGGACAACTACCAAATAAGACCTACAGTTTCTACACTGTTACATTTTTTAATCCCTCACACTGTATGTTGGAGTGCAACTAAGTCCCCTTATAATTCCCATTCTTACCCCAAAAAAACCTGGGTTTGGTTCTGGGTCTCCGACTCAACTTACGATCTATGAAAAGACTCGAGCTCAGATAGGATGTCACAGCCAAAGCCTCTGATTGCCATAAATTTGGGAGTTTCCACTGTTTGCTGCAACCAGCAATGGAATAGCTTGCTCCTCCTGTTGCTGTAAGCAGTACCACTTCTTCTTCCCGAGCACCACTCATTGCACCCTGTTACTTCCACGAGCAACCATCATTGCACCCTTTGTAATCTTCCACTTATCACCGTGGAAGGTTGTTGTGTAGCCTTCGCTGGCCAACTGGCCTACTGAGATTAAGTTCTTTCTCAAGTCAGGAATATGTTTGACATCTTTCAACTCCCATGTAGACCCGTTCAACCTAATCTTCACAACTCCTTTACCAACAATATTACATGGTTGGTCATAACCAAGGTATACTTTTCCAAAGTTTCCGGGGGTATACCTTTCAAGGAGTTCTTTTTGTGAAGTTGCATGGAATGATGCACCGGAGTCTAAAACCCAAGACTCCTGCTTGCTCTCCAAAGAGCATATAAGTGCATCATCTTCTCCTGAGGTGGAGGCAACATTTGCTTCTAGGCTTCTAAGCCCTTCCCCTCCTGTTCTTAGATGCATTTGCACTGATTTTTATTAGTGCCAGTTTTTCCACCAATTCAACATTCGATGGACTTCGTTGTTAATTCGAAATTGCTGGGATTCCTGGTTTGGGACCCTCCCTGTCCTTTGATTTGCCTCGGTAGTATTGAGATTCTACCGCGATTCATTTCTCTCTGTTGATTTCTTCCTCTTTGATTCTTATGCAAAGACTGAAGAAGTTTGAAGGTTCACTTGGACTCTCTCCGTCGGATCCTCTTTCCACTGAGAACTTAGGTCGCGAACATCATCAAAATTTTAACTTCTTTTGACTTTCCGGACGAGCTACTCACAGCTGTGACAGCTAGGCATTCCAACTCTCTGGTAGGGCAGACAAAAGTAATCAATGCTCGTACCTCTTTCATCAAATTCCAATTTTCAACTGAACTCAATTGGGTTGTCACTGTATTGAGTTTCATTGAATGTTGGGCCACCGATCGTTTTTCTCATTCGTAGATTGGAATAACCGCTCATCAAGTGAACTTTATTTTGGCGGCCGAATGGACTTTTAGATACCATATTGGAAAGAGCCGCCATAAGAAACCTGCCGTGGTCTTTTTCTTTTTGCTATGTTGAAGGGCACATTGCGAGAGAGGGTTAAACGAATAACCCGACGATGCTTGTCTGATCTAGAAGATATCCAATAGTTTCTTCCTTTCTTCCTTCATTGCCTCTGGCTTTATTCCGGAGAGAGGTTGGAAAAGACCTTTCTGATACAGATAATCCTCTATTTGCATTTTCCAAAAGCCAAAATCTGCACCATCGAATTTTTCAATTTTTCACTTTCCTTCATCTGCAGCCATCGCTCCCACTCGAGTCTAACTCCGCCTTGATTGTTAGTATACGTGAATAGTAATCGTACACGTGAATAGTACTATACGTAAATAGTAATAGTACACGTAAATAGTACTATACGTGAATAGTAATCGTACAAGTGAATAGTACTATACGTGAATAGTGCTGGACAAGTGAATAGTACTATTACGGTGATAGTGCTGGGCTGAATAGTCACGGGTTCTAGGCAACAAGTCACGGGTTCAGCAACAGTAACGCCAACAGTACTGTTCACCACCAACTTTGAGATACTGTTTTACTATTCACCACTAAGTCGATTCTGCAACGACTTTCCCAGCGGACAACACCGATAGACTCGTCGTAATTTTCTCGTTGTCGTGGTATATTTATTTTTAAAATATATCCACGAATCCGGTACCGCTATCTAACCGGCTGGACCTGCCGAAATCTTCGGCTATGATACCAGTTGTTAGGAAATTACGCAAAATTTCCTATAAAGCCAGATTAGTGAGAATGCCAAATAAAAGCGGAATAATAACACACACACAAATTTGATAACGGAGTTCGGCCAATTCTGCCTACGTATCCGGAGCTGCTGCAGATCTTTTACTAACAGGAGAAAAATTATACAAAGTGTTTACAACACTTATAACCCACAACTCACAAATTCACCCAAGAAAATTACTCTCAATTTAAGAAAATTACTCTCAATTTTCTCTCACCAAAGCTTTTCTCTCATGAACTCTAGCTAATGCGATTTCTATCCGGACAATGAGTTGATATACAAAACACTTTATGGAAGTGCCTCTATTTATAGGATGCAGGGAAGTGCTCTATTTATAGATGCAGAATTTGGTGGTTGGCCAACCATCGCCTTCACTTTATTTGGTTGTTGGCCAACCATGCATACCGAATTTTGACTAACACTGTTTCCTAAGCTGTGTGTTGTTCAATGGATATTGATCGGCTTTAACAAAGCTTACATATTTGAGAAGAAGCAATGGCTTAAAAAGGAGAGAAACCAACGGCAGCTACATACTCTTTCTACTTTATTTCATGCAAAAATATCCAAAAAGTTTATATATTAAAAGTACTCTAAACTTAGGAAGCCTGCAAGTGAGAATTCGTCTAGATTCTCTTCTCTTCTGTAAGTTCATCAACGGTAAAGTTGATTCTTGAGAGCATGATGGTGATAAATTCAGGAGAGATAGTGAGTATTATTACTGGAGAGGAATCGAGTAATGTTCAGCAAGAAAGTCACCCGGTTTCAGAGGAGAATGTAACTATTACTAGAGGAAATGTGTCTGAAGGGGAGAAGCAATCCTATGTGATTGATATGAAATGTGCAAGTGGTGGTGGAAGTACTATGGATTGGGATAAAGAAAGAGTTTGTAGGATCTGTCACTTGAGTTCTGAGGGATTGGTAGAAATCAATTCCTCTACCTCTCGTACCGATCTAATTCGACTAGGTTGTGGGTGTAAAGATGAGCTCGGCATTGCACATGCTTATTGTGCTGAGGCCTGGTTTAAGGTAAAGGGAAAAAGGTAACTTTTCTGTTGTTAAAAGCAGTCTTAATATGAGAAGAGTAACTTTTCTTTGTTTTGAAAGCCAGTTCTTAATATGAGAATTGATATTTTATTGATTCCATTGTTTTCAAAGAAAGATTGAATTGGTTGAGACTCTAACATCATAGTCTGTTTATTATATATTGGTGTTTGCCAATGAATGGTATGCTGTTCTGCAAATTCTATCTGAAATTTCAAAAGTCTATAAGGTCATTATTTCCAACATGATCTGAAGTTTTCAGTTTTTAAGTTTTGGTAACTCTGGCGGAAGAAAAATAATGTTGCTTCTGCTGTTTTTCCTTTTTCTGGAAAAATTGTGGGACTTTTTGTCTTAAATGAAACAAGAGGAGAGAAATTCCTACTGAAATTGTAAGAAAAATTCTTAACCTGCCTCTTTCTTAATTAACCATGGCATTTCTCCCATCCAAGAATATAATAAAGATTTCGGATGTTCTATTGAAATGAATTCATGGGTTATCAATATGAACCACAAATTCTTAATTTTATGTTCTTTCGAAATTCGTGAAAATATTGTGGTAAGGCAGCACAGTAACACTTAACAGTTGTTCGCGTCTACCAGCAAAATTCTTAATTTTGTTCTTTCAGAATTCGTGAAATTTGTGGGAAGGCAGCACAGAACATTACAGTTGTTGGTACCAGTAGCAGGTTTATGGAAGACTGGATTCAATGGAGATATACTGGTACCAGTAGCAGCTCATCTGATAGGGGTACTGAAAGTTGTTGGCGGAGAGAACTGTTTTGTTACTTTCTGATGGCGTGCCTGGTGATAGCTTTTGTGTTCCCATGGTTTTTGCGAATGGACATGCTTTAAAGGTTAGGAAGCTCTCTGCTGTGTTGTTTTTCTGGGGTAATGTTTCTGCTCATATAGCTTACTTCCTCTGATATCGTGTAATTCATACTCCGCAAGTTGGTAGAATTTTTTAAAATAACTAAAAAGCATATATCATTATTTAACCAAAGCAAGTGACAATTCCAGGCAGTTGAATTAGCATTGTAGCAATATCAGAGTTTAAAGTACTTATTTTTACAGTGAAAATGTATCCGAGCAAGGAAGCTCTTTGTTGTGCCATAATAGCTTCGATGACATTCTTCATAATCGGTTACGGTGAGTTATTTATCTCTCATACTTTATTGTTTATTTATTTATTTATTTATTTATTTTGACAGTCTAAATTACAATGAATATAAAAAATTTATAATTCAATTTACATAGGAATTGAATTTATATTATTTTTCTTTTTAAGAAAATTATGATTTAGTTAATGTACTTTCATAGAGAAAGTTTCATATAGAAGGCTACTAAGGATAAGGAACCTAAATCTCCATCTAAGGCAACAAAATCTTCAAAGAAAGCTTAAGCCATTTCGGTTGTTATTCGCTTATGGTCTTATTGTATGTGATTTAGAGGATATTTTGATTCATAATGAGTTGTGTTCATTGATTTCTCATTTTTTTTATATTTATAGTATATAATTTCTTTTTTCTCTTTGGAAACTTTTAGCTATTTTTTGTTTTTTCTTTCAATATTACTTTTGCTTTAGTGTTGCCCGAGGACGTGCAAAAGCTAGGTGTGGAGGAATTTGATGAGCGTATATATTATATATTTTAGTCTAATTATACTTACTATTTTTGCTGCAACTTTATACCTAATTTTGAATTATTAATGTTTATTTATCAGTTAGGTATAATTGATGCAAGTTTTGTGAATAAATGCTTTAATTTGACTAATTACCAGTATTTTCATAATTCTGACGGTTGTTGTGTAATTTAGGAATTTTTTGGGCTGTACATGTCCAAATGTCGTGCTATAGGACCCATTTGAAGGTTAAGACATACATCTATAACTTTTATGAAGGTCTCAAAGTGAAATGACAATATTTTGTGAGTCAAAAGCCGTAATGAAATCGAATTACAAAGTCAGACTCGGGTTGGATTTATATCAGAACCAGTTTGGATTTTTAATAAGTCAGACTCGGGTTGGATTTATATCAGAACCAGTTTGGATTTTTAATCCATAACTTGGGTTGTAGACCTCAGATTATACAGGGTCATGCTCGTTAGAAAGTGGGATGAAGAGTAATATTTTGTATGAAAGGGTCAGAGGCCGATTTGATAAGGAAACTATTTAAAAATAACCGTGAAAGCATTGAAAGAAATCCACCTCATCGATTCAAATATTCTTTTCATTAATTTTGGGATAGTTGTTATCTCAATATTTTATCAGAGAAATTTTTCTTTTTTCTATTTTTCTTTTTATTTAAGTACGGATAATTCTTGGAGAGAGTAGTTAGTTTTATTTTCTTCTTCGTGATATTTTAGTCAACCTCCACCCTTTCTATTTTGCAGAGAATAAAACTCACATCAACATTAGAATTTCACACAAGGAGAAGGTCGTTTGATAACCTTTTACTACACAGCCTTTCACCTCAGCTGTCAAGCAAAAGTTTTTCGTTAAAAAGCCTCTAGCCTACAACAGATTACAAGAATTTATATAGACAGAGACAAATGCAATTATAAACATAGGAAGAACAAAAATAGATTTTGAAAACAAAAATAAAGTGCAAAACTATTTTTAAGAAAATGTTATTACCAGTTTTCTTTTGTCTTGAAAAATCTCTTGAAGCAAATAGATGAAAAGAAAATAAAGAGGGTTGAAGACAAAGTTTTGAGAGATCTGAAACTCTGACTAATGAACTCTTACTCTTACAAAAACCCGTTTAATGTTTTTCTTTTAAAGAGTATCTTGACTTTTCAAAAATAAAAAGATATAAATCTTTTACAAATACTCAATTATTAGTTAGCAAAAATATTTAAGTCAAAATCTTTTTCATTTAGGTAAGTAGAATTAAAAGAGCAAAGATTTGACTTTTCTTTTAAGGTAATTTTTGGAAAATATCTTAAAAATGATTTTGAAAGAGATAAAAATAGATTTTGTGCTTATAAGGGAATATTCTCTCTATCTTACAATATATCCTAAGATATTAACCACTATAAAAATCTTCAATAATTTTCATGGTTTTCAAAGAATCTGGGGGAATATACTCGTCTTATCAACAACATCTCGCTTTGAATGATGAACTTGGGGAAAAACCTGTATTAGATCATAGAGAACACAATTTATTAAATGTGGTATTATTGGAAAAAAAGGATCTTCAAAAACCTGTATTAGATCATAGAGAACACAATTTATTAAATGTGGTATTATTGGAAAAAAAGGATCTTCCGATGGTTTATATATAAAGACCATTGATGAGCTCAAATCAATAGTCTCAATTATTTCTTCATCCACCAATATTTTTTCTGCTTGTTTTCATTTGAACTCTTACCCAAAGTCCCTTCCAACTGTATCTCACCTTTTTTATGGTCATTAATAATCATGTTTGGAAACAAGAAATTGAGATTTAATCCGTCTTCAAAAGAATAACATTTTTCACATGTAGGCTTTACTAGCTTTACTTCTTCCTAAATATTGCATTTTCCCATGCGAAATTTCGGAAACAAGAAATTGAGATTTAATCCGTCTTCAAAAGAATAACATTTTTCACATGTAGGCTTTACTTCTTCTAAATATGCAATTTCCCATGAAATTTCCTTAGGATTCACCTTGCACTCATCATCTTGATATCCATAATTGCCATAGTTATCAATTTCGTTGCTTGTACCTCCAAATTCTTTATTGCTGCTTGTTGGATTTTAAAACTCTCGCAAGTTTCATTCATAAATTCAATGTGAGATTTAGTAAGGACAGCAATCAAATCCTCTAAATTCTTTTGCTTTTCTTCTTCATACTCAAAATTTTGAGGATATTGGTGATTCCAACCTTGCAGTGAATGATCCCAATGCCAACGGTAGTTAAAATCTGCCATATCATTTAACATGTAAAATAAATCTTTGTAGCTGCTTTCCAGAAGGTGAATATCGGTTGCAGAAAATCCATTATCTACTCAACTTCTAGTTTCTTCATCTAATCCACAATAGAATATGTAAGTGAGATATTTATTTGTAAAATTATGACAAGGAAATCTCTCATTAAATCTTGCCCAAGAGACATAAAATGGCTCTGAATGTTGTTGAATAAAACTTGTGACTACTTGTTGATGAAACATCTCAAAATACTTCGTAAGAAAAATAAAAAAAATCGATAAAATAAAGAAAAACTACAAATAATATAAACAGATATTTCAATTAACGAACAAAAAAAATGTCTATATTAATGATAGGTTAATTAGTATTGATATTGGCAACACCAATTCTCCGGCAACGGCGCTAAAAACTTGACAGTGCTTTCGCAAGTGTACGAAATCGCTACAAGTAATATATGATGAGTAGAATATCGTTCCCATGAGGACTGTCTACCAAGTACCAAAATTATGTTAACCTATTATTATTTAAACGATAAATGAAGAAATTGTTTCAAGAATTTAAATTCAACAAGTAAAATAAGATGAAATCAAGCAAGCAATTATTGATTAAAGAAATCAAGGATTTAAAACTACTAGGGATTTTGAATTCACTTAATTCTATCCAATTTATTTTATTAGTTCATTAATCAATTTTAATTGTTCAAGTAGGGGAAATAACTCCAAAATCGCTAACAAGCTCTCCTGATGTATTATTAGCTTTATTAGCTAATTTTAAGTTTCGCTTTAACTAAGTACCTATCTTCCAATAGCACAATCAAACATGAATTAAATCATTAAGTTTTGTAGTTGTTTATGAATTCATAGATTAAAGTTGTTAATTCATGAAAACACCCCATGAGTCAAACCATATAGCTTCCGCATCAAGTTATTATTCTCATGTGATTCATCAACTCTTTCATATCAAAAATCATTCTTCCGATAGTGATTAATGAATAAATCAATCCAGGGGAAAAACTCTGGCTGGAAGCATTAAGTTTATCAATAAATCATAACTTGAACAAAGAAAAATAAATCTAATATTATAAATTGGAAAAGAAATTAAGCTACATCGCTTTCATTAAATCCCTAGTATGGAGAGTATCCTAGTAAATCCCTAGTATGAGAGTTTAGTTAGACATAGTACTTAAATAAAACTCAATAATACTTAATAAATATTCCATAATCAATAAGAATAATGAAAGAAATCAACAAGATTAAGAGTTTAAAAATAAGAACTAGTTAACAGTTGACTTCGGATGGCTTCCTTGAACCTTTGCACAACTCTTGAAATGCTTGAACTCTTGAAGAAATAAAATTATGTACAAGACTAAGGGAATGGTATGAGATAGGATGAGATATGGGATCAGATGAAAATGGGACGCTATGGGATTTACTCTCCCTCTCTTTATATAGACTTATTGGGAGAGAAATCCACATGGTTCAGGGACTAAAGTCCACCTTAGTTAGGTGATGAAGTTCTCATTTAGGCCTTAAATTTCTTTAATCATGAATGACGCATGTGCATAGATTAGGACTTGATTTGCATGTGAAGAAAGTTGTCCAAGATTAGCTCTTGAAGTTGGCGGAAATTGGTTGGCAATTTTGACTCAATTGAGCTCTTGGTCTTTTAGCACGGGCGTGCTAGGCTCTGAGTCTCCACTTGATTTTCCTTGATTCCAGCACGGGCATGCTGATGTGCTAGAGCCTGAGTGTTTTGTTTTATTGTACTCTTTTTTGTGCCAAAACCCTACAAATTTCCTTAACACCAAGTGAATTATAATTCAAGGAAGCTTTTATATGAAAACATAAATAAAATTAAGGAATTATAATTCAAGGAAGCTTTTATATGAAAACATAAATAAAATTAAGATAAAAACTAAATAAAGTAATTAAAAATACCAAAAACTCCTAATAAAACTATATTGAAAATACTATAAAAATAACACTATTAGCCACTGACTAATTTTCACGTGATGTGATTATATGAAGATAATAATATTTGTGACAAATTGCATGATCATATAACTAGTCGGAGGACTAAAATGATTTATTGTAGCATATGTGTGAATGTATGGGGTGAGAGGGTTATCTGACCCTATTCATTGAGTTTGGCACTCACCCTTGCCTACTATTTTTTTTTCTTTTTTAAGGTAATAGGAAAAAAGAAAGTCCCCTATTGGAATTCAACTGAGTTTGAAATAATACTTTATTGAAGAACTGTAAAATAAGACTGTAAATTATAGAGTTCCACAATTGTATTCCAAATGAGTTGTGAATGGACAAATAAAGTATATATGTTAATTATATAAAGTGCACTTTTGATATGTTCATGGAATAAAGTTGTTGGGCCCGAAGCCACAATTATATTTAGAATATGGATGAATTAATATAGGCTTTCTACGGGTCTCGGAGGCCTTAAGGCCACCCAGATCCTAGTGCCGGTCAGACCTATGAAAACAGGTCGTGACATACATACAAATTCATTAAACATAAAATATTATTATCTGAGTCTTCCAAATCACTATTATCATTATGATTTTTCTCCATTATTTCAAATTGAAGTTTAAATCAAATGTAGAAATTAAATTTTAAATTTCAAAATTTAAAATTTTAAAAATTTGACCAAATTGACATTCAAATTCATATATGAAAATATGAAAACTAGAGTGAAGTTATTTTGCAATGTACAATTATAATTTATATAGATAATTTACTACAAATAAACTAATTTATTTAAAATAATTTATATAAATATTAAACTTTTGAATGGCTAACCATCGATTTCACCCTGAACTTCTTTGAATAATTGCAATTTTACTATAAAATAATGATTCATATCATAAACCAAATTTTGGACCCATGTTTTACTTATAGAATAAAATAAAAATACAATAAAAACTATTGTGCAATAAGATAAAGCAAGAAAAGAAAAAAAGGTTTATAATGATCAAATTGACATAGATGAAAGTTAACATAACAATGATATTGCTCTCTTTTATTTAATTTTATTATGCAATAAGCGAATTGACAA